ACTAATTAAAAAGTATAAAAATATTTTGAATATGAAGAAAGAAATTAATAAAAGTTTGATTGGAAATATTCAAACTTGCTATAGATTTAAAATTTAATTAAACCTGCATTTGTTATTACTCTTAGTTAAACACTCCTTTACATTTAGAATCACGTAGGAACTTAGCTAACAAATATAAACAATGGTTGGTTAATCAAGGTAAAATGCCTCAAATAAATAATATAAAAGGTAGAAGTGATGGTTTGGTGTTCTACTGTATGATGCATATGAGAGCTTGAAAATCCTTGTATATTTAGATAAGGGACTTTAGATTGATGTAGTTTAATGCAGGGAAAACTTACTTTACGGTGTGATCGTCATTGAAGTGAACAATTAGCGTACTTTCCTTGTTTATACTTTGCCGACAATTTATCTGTTTTACAAGGATTGAATGTTGGTTGAGTTGCAGCTTGGAATAGCATCAAGTGACAGGAGTACGAGAATACGTTTTCTTGATATATGCATACTCTATGAAGAATTAGGTGCACTACGTGAAAGGATATTTGTTTTGGACGGGTGAACTGCTTATGATCTTTTGTTGGAAAAGCACAAATAGATTAAATACTTAATTTATCTTTATAATGTAAAAGATTCATATACTGTAAAAGTTCATAATATATATGGCTTTTATGGTTTGTTTAAAGTATCGGTGGGTTTGATTTGTTTTTTTTGTAGAATTTTGTTGAAAGAAGCAATGGAGTTGTAAGGGTGGGCACCCAGTACGCTAAATTCTCTTTACAGATAAAGTTTGTTTGAATATAAATGGAATACCTTTCATTCAGAAATTTAAAAGCCATTATGCAGTTGGTTTATAACTGAAATATATCCTTTTATCTGGTCAAAATCTCATTTTTCGTCTTCAATTCCTTGATAGACTTCTCAACTGATGATATCCTAATTAATCTCGCATTTCGTCGCCTTCGACATCAATAATTTGGTTGTCAGTGAACTCGTTTTCTCAACTGATAATTCCATCTGCTACTTAGACCCATTTCATAAGCTCCATTTTATCTTTGTCTAAGCTTGTTACTTTATTCATTTAATGTGTTCAAAAACCTGAAATATATGAAACATGAATCCAATCTAAAAATAAGAAATTGACACAGTTTTAAGATTCACCACTTCATATAAACTCCCATGATCTATTATTCAATTTCTCACTACCGACTTAGCTCGTGCACATTGATATTGAAAGGGAAAAAATGAGAAAAAAAGAGAGGCATGTGTCTGCTTTACTTGCACTCCAAAAATGCGATATTTGCGGTCCCATGCCTGTGGGAAGATTGATACGGCTGGCTATGATGTCCATGTCCCTGTGTGCAAATCCAAACTACATTTCATAATTTGACGTGGTGAATTTCATGGTGTACCACGACGCCTGGTGGGTCCATCAAACTATCCCAAGCAGTTTTCACAATCTGGTAATGAAAAACACACTCTGATCAATCTCCAATCATTTACTTGTAGCTGTGCGAGCTTTTAGCACTCAAAATTGCAAATCTCGCTCATCAAATTCGTAGCTATTTTGACACATTCGTGATAGGCCACTTTAACAAGTGGTTAATTATAACTCCCCTTAATGCTTCGAGGGACATCACGACAGAAAGTTTGAAAATACTTGTTGCTTTCATAAAACAAATGCTAAAACACGCAATATGTATATTCATGGTGTGCTGGTTATAGATTTCAATATTCAGAAGTATCAAGTAATTATCAGGGAAGAAATGTGCGTAAACCCTGTTAGTGGCTTTAATGCTAAGGGAGAAAAAAATCAGCAAACAAAAATAGAAAATAAGAAAGCAAAATTTAAATAAATATTGGACTAAATGGTAAAACGAAACCGTCAATGGTTTCGATGTCTAACAAGTGAGAGCGACGTGATGAGTATAGAATTTTAGCTAAAAATAAGGTCCCATATCAAATCTATCACCTTACAGTGCCGCTCATAGATCACAAGGTTCAACCTATCTTTATTCTTCATCAACTACATTTACATTTGCATGTAGAAATGAACAGGAGTCGTAACATAAGACAGTTAAAAACCACACACACCCCTTTTATTTATTCATTTCAAAATATCCAATCCTTCTCTCCGTTAAACACCATTTTATGTCTTCAAGTTTTCCTTCCAAGGAATCAAATGAAAAGAAAAACGCCCAGGATAAGAACAAATTCTACTTTTGATGCACAAAAAAAGTGGGATAATCCGTCCAAGACTTTTTTATAATCATGGATGTCAAATGGATAATTAATTTTTCCGCAAAAATTCAACTAGTTATTTTCAGTTCTTTTTCAATCACTTTTTCACTTATAAAAGTTCAAACTTTTGTAAAATCAATTTCAATTCCACTCATATTAAACTTCACTTGACACCGATGTGAATTTAAAATATAACAAAAAGTTATCGAGCCTCATTGTATTGCGTTTGAAAAAATGTATATAAGCAAGTTTGACTCTAAAAATTTTGTTAAACAATGCAATAAATGCATAAATTATTATTTGTGGCTCCCAAAAGGAACATATAAGTAAAAATTGTAGAAAGATATGATTACAAACCAAATTCGTGGATAATATGTGTTTATTTGTTACTTGAACAAGAGAAAAAGCTCTATAAGGCATACCATTTATATGTTTGTTGGAAAACATTAAAAACGAAAAATTCCTTATCATAGTGTGACACTTGGAGGGACATGGTCAAACTTAAGTTATTTCAGCAGAGAAAATGGTACAAAAATAGCATTGCTTATTTGAGTTGATGGGCCGTATCATTTATGATTTATAGTTGCAGATTGACAATGGTGGATATAATTGGAAATGAAATGATGAACTAAGTTGCATGAAATACGAAACGCACCTAAACCCTATAAGCGTGTTTTTCAATTTGAGTGAGTTTGTGGCGTTTAGCCGCTGCTGCCAAATTAATTCATCAACCGTCTGTTGCCGTTGCCGTTGCCGACGCAACTCCGTAGTTAGGTGGCCCAATCATTTTCTTCATATCTTTCTCCGTTCTTTTTTTCTTCGTTATAGGATAAATTAGCAATTTAAGAAATAAAATCGTATAAAGTAATTTCCAAGAATGAAACATTTTTCAATGTATTCCACTCATTTTTGGAAACTAATACAACAGATTTCTCTATGCTTAACAAAATATTTATTATAATAATGATTTATTACACTTCAATCAAAAATTAAACATTATTCAAATGATCAAGTGGGCTTAACACGGGATGAGACAAAAGTTTCTGTATTGGGCATATCTCTACAAGAAAAATTAATGGTAGATAATTATAGATTGATAGTTAAAACACTCCATTTAATGGTCATGATTTTATAATAAATATATGAAGAACATTGATTAAAAAATATTGAATTCAATTCCTCAATTTACTATTACGATGAAATACATTGAAAAGTGACATTTTTTTTTTGCTTTTACTATTTTAGTTGCATTTTAATGATGTTTGTTAACATTTCGGAGTTGGCATAATATATAGTTACGGGTGTCTGATTCCCTTTTTAACTTTTTTATTTATTTTTGTTTTAAAAATTCTATTTTTAGAACAAATTAATAATATTAAAAAAAACTTACTAATGGAATCGTAACAATATATAGTATACTATACAAATATTTGAACTTGAAGTGAATAGTTTTAAATTTTCTGTTCCTTCAAAGAGTGTGGTTTAATTTATTTATTTTCTACAAATGAAGAAATACAATAATTTTACCTTATTTTATTACATATATGTAAACTAGTTCAAAATTAGATGAAGAGAAAAAAGTATAAATAGCATAAGATAAATAATCTTGTATTCAACTTTGAAAATGAGATTTAAGTAGATTTTTTAAAATGAGATACTAAACAATGTTAGAAAAAGTAATTTAAATCATTTATATAATTTTTTTATTATAAAATATTTAATACAAATAATCGAGGTAATGTAATGAAAACTATTGATTTTAATGATCAAGTATAAGTTCTATCAAATTTAAGGACAATATATTTATCAATAAGTTATATGTTATTGGAGGCACACCTATCATGTAACGTTTACATGTGGACTATCATATTAGCCTAACAATTTTGGCATGTCATCGTGGTCTTTAACAATACATGTGTAATGTTTTTTTGTAAGTTTCATGATATGTAATTTTAGTTTTCCAAATTTTATAATTAAATGATTTCATTCTCCCAAATACGAACTTGGCACGGTGATATGGTAAAATTTCACAAACTAAGTATTACATATTACAAATATTTAGTAAATTTATGATATTTTAAAAAAATTTAAATATATAAACTGAAATACTGCTATTTATTATAACTATTAATATAAGAAAAAACAGGTATACTTTTTACAAGTATTTATCATAAAATCAAGTATAACATTAAACATTGATTGCATTTATGATTAAACGTACTTAGTAAAATTATAAATAATACTAGAATGTCTCATTTGATATTATACTTAATATTATATATACAATGCAGGTAATTAAATTGAGAATGTATAAGATGATAGATGTGTAATAGTTAGAAAATAAAACAGTTTAATTAAGTAAAAAGAAAGAAATGAATAAAAAATTTAATGTATGTTTGAAACATGATTAATGGGGGAGATTTTTGGTTTAAGAAACGGGAAAAGTTTGTTTGAGACGGATTAAAATAAACATTCATTTGATACTACTTTTAATAATATAATAATAAATATTATGATTTTAAATTAAAAAATAATATAATTGAAATAAAAATATTATTATATAACTGTGTTATATGAATGTAATTTGTCGTTTTCTTCTATCAAAGTATGGCCTTAAGAAACAGCAGGTGGGGGAGCAGGATTCCAGTCCATATCATCTTTCTCTTCTCACGCCCATATTTTAAAAAATAATTACAGCAAAAAACTCCACGTTTTTGTAAATATCTTAGAAGCCCTATACTTGCAACAAAGTGTATATATAAGTCCCCATAACACTCCCTCAACTCAGCAACAACAATTGCTATAACATAAAACTTAGATTTGAGTCACTGAAAACATCAAAAGCCATATGGATTGGTTCCTAAAATCATCGGAAGCCATGTCCAACCTTAATCCATTCAACATCACCATCTTACTCATCCTCCCACTAACAACACTTCTTTTCGTTTTGCTACATCGTACTCGTCCAAGAGCACCGTATCCACCGGGACCAAAGGGTTTGCCCATCATAGGAAACATGTTGATGATGGACCAGTTAACCCACCGCGGTCTTGCCACCCTCGCCAAGCAATTCGGCGGCGTTTTCCACCTCCGCATGGGCTTCCTCCACATGATAGCCATCTCCGACCCCGACGCGGCACGTCAGGTTCTCCAAGTCCAAGATAATATCTTCTCCAATCGCCCCGCCACCATCGCCATCAGCTACCTCACCTACGACCGCGCCGACATGGCCTTCGCACACTACGGCCCCTTCTGGCGCCAGATGCGCAAGCTCTGCGTCATGAAACTCTTCAGCCGAAAGCGCGCCGAGTCCTGGCAATCCGTGCGCGACGAGGTCGACGGTGCAGTCCGCTCCGTCGCGGCTTCCGCCGGAAAAGCCATCAACGTCGGCGAGCTCGTGTTCAACCTGACGAAAAACATCATCTACCGTGCGGCCTTTGGGTCGAGCTCCCAGGAGGGACAGGAAGAGTTCATTGGGATTCTGCAGGAGTTTTCGAAACTCTTTGGCGCTTTCAACATCGCGGATTTTATACCCTACCTCGGGCGCGTGGACCCGCAGGGGCTCAACGCGCGCCTTGCTAGGGCTCGCGGCGCGTTGGATAGCTTCATAGATAAGATCATTGATGAGCACGTAGAGAAGAAGAAGAATGGGAAGGGTGTCTGTGATGGAGAAGCGGACATGGTGGATGAGTTGCTCGCGTTCTACACCGAAGAGGCCAAGTTGAACAATGAACCTGAAGATTTGCAGAACTCTATCAGACTCACTAAGGATAACATCAAAGCTATCATTATGGTATCTATGGATCCCTTTTTATTTATTTTTTTATAAATTTCTTATTTTTAACACATCAATATTTTTTTATTTCTCTTTTATTACCACATTCTAATCTTTATTAAAAAAAATATATATTTTTAAGAACTATTTGGTTTTTTTTAAGGGTGTAGGTATCATTTTCCATTTCATAATCCATCAAATATTTTCGCATGTCACTATTTTGTCTATGGTGTAATTTAGACATCATTTATTTCTTTTCTTGTCTAAAAAGTATTTTTAGAAAAAGTTTATACGAACAAATTATCACCCTGTTTGGACTGCTTTCTACTTTAGTGGAATTTTCTAGTTGTAAAATATAAAACTGCTAGGTGTTTTTTTATGCAAGATTNAATACATGTGTAATGTTTTTTTGTAAGTTTCATGATATGTAATTTTAGTTTTCCAAATTTTATAATTAAATGATTTCATTCTCCCAAATACGAACTTGGCACGGTGATATGGTAAAATTTCACAAACTAAGTATTACATATTACAAATATTTAGTAAATTTATGATATTTTAAAAAAATTTAAATATATAAACTGAAATACTGCTATTTATTATAACTATTAATATAAGAAAAAACAGGTATACTTTTTACAAGTATTTATCATAAAATCAAGTATAACATTAAACATTGATTGCATTTATGATTAAACGTACTTAGTAAAATTATAAATAATACTAGAATGTCTCATTTGATATTATACTTAATATTATATATACAATGCAGGTAATTAAATTGAGAATGTATAAGATGATAGATGTGTAATAGTTAGAAAATAAAACAGTTTAATTAAGTAAAAAGAAAGAAATGAATAAAAAATTTAATGTATGTTTGAAACATGATTAATGGGGGAGATTTTTGGTTTAAGAAACGGGAAAAGTTTGTTTGAGACGGATTAAAATAAACATTCATTTGATACTACTTTTAATAATATAATAATAAATATTATGATTTTAAATTAAAAAATAATATAATTAAAATAAAAATATTATTATATAACTGTGTTATATGAATGTAATTTGTCGTTTTCTTCTATCAAAGTATGGCCTTAAGAAACAGCAGGTGGGGGAGCAGGATTCCAGTCCATATCATCTTTCTCTTCTCACGCCCATATTTTAAAAAATAATTACAGCAAAAAACTCCACGTTTTTGTAAATATCTTAGAAGCCCTATACTTGCAACAAAGTGTATATATAAGTCCCCATAACACTCCCTCAACTCAGCAACAACAATTGCTATAACATAAAACTTAGATTTGAGTCACTGAAAACATCAAAAGCCATATGGATTGGTTCCTAAAATCATCGGAAGCCATGTCCAACCTTAATCCATTCAACATCACCATCTTACTCATCCTCACACTAACAACACTTCTTTTCGTTTTGCTACATCGTACTCGTCCAAGAGCACCGTATCCACCGGGACCAAAGGGTTTGCCCATCATAGGAAACATGTTGATGATGGACCAGTTAACCCACCGCGGTCTTGCCACCCTCGCCAAGCAATTCGGCGGCGTTTTCCACCTCCGCATGGGCTTCCTCCACATGATAGCCATCTCCGACCCCGACGCGGCACGTCAGGTTCTCCAAGTCCAAGATAATATCTTCTCCAATCGCCCCGCCACCATCGCCATCAGCTACCTCACCTACGACCGCGCCGACATGGCCTTCGCACACTACGGCCCCTTCTGGCGCCAGATGCGCAAGCTCTGCGTCATGAAACTCTTCAGCCGAAAGCGCGCCGAGTCCTGGCAATCCGTGCGCGACGAGGTCGACGGTGCAGTCCGCTCCGTCGCGGCTTCCGCCGGAAAAGCCATCAACGTCGGCGAGCTCGTGTTCAACCTGACGAAAAACATCATCTACCGAGCGGCCTTTGGGTCGAGCTCCCAGGAGGGACAGGAAGAGTTCATTGGGATTCTGCAGGAGTTTTCGAAACTCTTTGGCGCTTTCAACATCGCGGATTTTATACCCTACCTCGGGCGCGTGGACCCGCAGGGGCTCAACGCGCGCCTTGCTAGGGCTCGCGGCGCGTTGGATAGCTTCATAGATAAGATCATTGATGAGCACGTAGAGAAGAAGAAGAATGGGAAGGGTGTCTGTGATGGAGAAACGGACATGGTGGATGAGTTGCTCGCATTCTACACCGAAGAGGCCAAGTTGAACAATGAACCTGAAGATTTGCAGAACTCTATCAGACTCACTAAGGATAACATCAAAGCTATCATTATGGTATCTATGGATCCCTTTTTATTTATTTTTTTATAAATTTCTTATTTTTAACACATCAATATTTTTTTATTTCTCTTTTATTACCACATTCTAATCTTTATTAAAAAAAATATATATTTTTAAGAACTATTTGGTTTTTTTTAAGGGTGTAGGTATCATTTTCCATTTCATAATCCATCAAATATTTTCGCATGTCACTATTTTGTCTATGGTGTAATTTAGACATCATTTATTTCTTTTCTTGTCTAAAAAGTATTTTTAGAAAAAGTTTATACGAACAAATTATCACCCTGTTTGGACTGCTTTCTACTTTAGTGGAATTTTCTAGTTGTAAAATATAAAACTGCTAGGTGTTTTTTTATGCAAGATTAAGAGGATTGGTTATAATACAAAAACGGATGAAAAATTGAACTTTTAAATGCTAGTGTTTGTTGGGAAATTAACCCGGAATATCTCTTATTATATTCATCCTTGACAATTTACCCCACCTTAAAGAAAGTGTCTCTGCTTGAGTTTAAAGGGAATATAGGTGTAAAATTAGCCACTTTCTTAATTATAATATATTATTTTTAGAAGTAATTTAACTTTCTAATTTCTTTAAAGGATGTTTCATGTCTTTTTCTGAAAAATATATTAAATTTTAATGTTTTTTTTGCAATAAATAAATAAATTTGTACTTTTTAGACTTTAGTTAACTTTTGAATATGTTTACATGTTACATGAAAATACATGCATCTCTGTCTGTCATGTTGAAAATATATACATAGGTGTTTGTTAGGGAGGCTTCGATTTGTCAAAAGTTTGTTTTTTAGTTTATTTTCTGAATTGTCAAAAGTTGATTTGCATGCCTTTGGTTAGAATTATAGTATTTTCTAGAACATGCGTTTCGTTCTTACTTATTAAAGTAGGTTGAGTTATTAGAAACATTGCAATTATATAAGAAATGTATATTATTACAAAAGAACATGTCTCCAAATTAATCAAGATTATTCTTGCTGAAATTGAAAAAGTAAATTCAAGTTTATTATAGTTATTGTCATTATAATAAATGAATGAAGAAATAAAGTAGATAAGATTGAGAAGATCAGAGATACAGCACCTGGAAACATAAGCCACCACCAAACATAGTGGGCTTTAATTTAGGTTGGTAGCATTTCACCTTCCATATCTACACCTTTTCCCTTTTCTTATTTATTTTCAATTAAAATTTGGTTTCGAAAGCAAAATTCAATGGTAAATTTTTTGATATGGATGATTGGGCTGTGGGTACCAAATCACTTTTCGCATTTATTTATCTAAGGTTATGATCAAAAATAAATAATTGAGATTTGACTTTAAAATAATTATTTATTTTGTTTTTATTCTCTTTACCAGTTTTAACAGCATGACTTCTCTTTAAAAAAAATATGAAAAAATTGATTGCAATAATATTTCTTTGGTGACTGTATTGTGCCTTTTAATACAGGATGTGATGTTTGGAGGGACGGAAACCGTGGCATCAGCGATTGAGTGGGCCATGGCGGAGCTAATGAGAAGCCCAGAAGACCAAAAGAGGGTCCAACAGGAGCTCGCGGATGTAGTGGGCCTTGACCGTCGGGTCGAAGAGTCCGATTTTGAGAAACTCACGTTCCTAAAATGTGCCCTTAAAGAGACCCTACGCCTCCACCCTCCGATCCCGCTCCTCCTCCACGAGACGGCCGAGGAAGCGACGGTCAGCGGCTACTTCATTCCCAAGAAAGCGCGCGTGATGATCAACGCGTGGGCAATTGGGAGAGACAAAAACTCATGGGAGGAACCCGACTCATTCAAACCCGCCAGGTTTTTGGAACCGGGCGTGCCCGACTTCAAGGGTAGCAACTTCGAGTTCATTCCTTTCGGGTCGGGTCGCAGGTCCTGCCCCGGGATGCAGTTGGGGCTGTACGCGCTTGAATTGGCGGTGGCTCACCTCCTTCACTGCTTCACGTGGGAATTGCCAGATGGAATGAAACCCAGTGAGTTGGACATGGGTGACATTTTCGGACTCACCGCTCCAAAAGCCACGCGACTCATCGCTGTGCCAACCAAGCGCGTGGTGTGCCCTCTCTTTTAGAAAAAAAAAACAACAACAATTTAATCCCTTTTATTTTCTTTTTTTTTCATATTTTATTTTCATCCCAATTATACATAATCATCATAAATAATACGAAGTGAGAGAAACAATAAGAATGTGGTACATGTAGTTGTTCTCTCTATTTCGAAAACAAAAAACTGAAAAACTCTTCTTGATTCGATGTGTTTCTTTTTGCCCCACTTGCGTTTTTTATTCTTATGTGTAATACACCGAAATATAAGTGAAGCAGCCACTAAAAAGAGTGAGTGGCCATGGTGGAAATGTGACAAATTAAATTGCATAATTGTGATAATTTACTTTCATTCTTGGATGCGATGGTGAATATTTTGAAATGCGTAGTGTGAGGATTTGATACGAAAATCGCGTATTTAACAGTGATATACAGTAGTGTTTTGTAAGCAAGTGGATTCTAGAGGCAAAAAATTAATGATGGCTGAGCAGAGGGAAAATGCAGATGAAGTTGAAGACTTTGGGTGTGATATGAAGAGGTAGCTATGAAAAATTCAACATCGCTCAGGTTGAGAAGCCTCAAAGTATGGAATGATATAAACATTTTAAAATTGCATTGATTTTATTTGGTTAGATTTGGCGGTGCAGAAGAGTGGCGTGATTTGTTTGTATACGGAACTGCATGATTTACTATAAGTGAAACTGATGAAAGTTGTATTTCAAAGTGCTAGCGTATGTAGAAAAAGAAAAAAAGATGAAGTGTTTAGGTGAGTGTAGAAACGAACGTGAAATTCAAAATCACTACTTAAAACGTGAAAGTGACACTCCTTGGACCCTTGTTTTGTATTCAGAAGCCAAGTCAAACTGAAGCCTTTTTCCGGGGTGCAAAGTTTTAACACCTTTACCTACTTTGTGACCAAACACATACTAACGTTACATTTCTGTTCGACTATTTTTTCTTCTGACAGGAAAATCTAGCATTCATCATTCTGCTCACTGAGGATTGGTCAGCGTGAACATTGGTATTGTTTTCATACGTTAGAATCTTCAATGAGTTAAACCATAGATTTTCATTTGCTGGCATGTTCTTCTTAGGGTGTGAAACTATTATTATTTTATTAAACTTTGATATGGTATGAATATTTTGAATTCGGTGCTTAATTGGACAAGCAGGACTTAAACAATCAAATTTGGTCACCTCTAACCTAAACCACTAGAATGCCTTTTATGGGATCATGGTCCCATGCCAATGATTTTTTGCTGTTTAAGAGAGACAACTGACTCTTTAAGTGAGAGCATGTAAAACAAAGGCTTTATTTATTTATTTTGTTGAAAATTGTAGTACCAAGATTTTGCATATGAATAGGGTCAACCCGACAAATTTTGAGGATAAGAATAATTACAAAATAAATATTTTTTAATTATGACTTAAATTTGATATGGTAGTATTGGTGATAATTGAGTTTTTAACATAAAATATATTTAATTGAAAAGTATGTTTAATAATTTTCTTTGAGAACTCATTTAGAAGGGGAAAAGTGTTGTTTTGGTATAATTTTTTTTTCTAAATTACTTAAATGAGACAAATTTTAAAAAATATTACAAAAGTGGATAAGTTATGTTAAGAGGACACATCTTTACTTGAACAAGTAGTGTGAATAGGATACAATTTTAGATAAAAACAATTTTAGAGTTGAAATTGTGTCAAGTTGATATCACTTCCATCGAAAGCATTCTAAGATGAAATTGTATCAATTTAACACGGTTTCTACTGAAACTAAATTAAAGTTGTATTAATTTGGCTCGACATTTATTAAAACTGAACTAAAGTCATGTTAAGTTGGCATGACTTCAATTTAAAATGTATTAAACTGAAATTGTACTGACTTAACACGACTTTAACTTAAAAATGTTTTAAACTAAAGTTGTACCATCTTGACATGACTTTTTTATTATGAGAAAAGTGTGATGTAGCATGACTTATCCACTTTTGTAATTTTTTTTAAATTGGTTCTATTTTGATACTTTTTGGAGGAAAAAAATTGCTTATTTTAATGCTTTTATCTATTTAAAAAAATGTAATTATTGTCTTTATCTAAAATTAAATAATAGTGATAAATTTATAAATACCAGTAGTAAATAGGTTTTTGGTCATACCTTTAAAATTTAAACCATACTATATTTAGTATGACTATCTTCTAATATTAAGAGATGTAAAATACTAATATTAGTTTTGAACTTAAGTTTAACTACAAATAATTGATTTCATTAGGAACTTGGTTAATATAATTAATTTACTAATGAATATTAAAAATGATTTTTTATGCACGGAAACTTATGATAAAGAAATAAAATTATTACAAGCAGAATTTATGTTGAGAGAGAAGTGTTCAAATAACAATATCATTAAATAAAATAAAATTGATCAGATTTACTTACTGTTAGCTTTTATAAAGAAGAGAGGTTACATTTGAAGATTATATCCTCTCATTTATTTTATTTCTTTTCAGTTAATATCCTGATAGTAACAGAAGATAAGCTTTATGCATTTAATGATTGATAATGGATGAAGGAGGACAGTTCCTTGTGTTTTTTCATGTCTCATTCAGATAATCAAATTCTCACTATAAATAGTTATCTCTTCGCGGGTTGCCTATGAGAGACATTCCGAATTCTATCACCAGTAACTATCATGGATTCTATATAATGTAATTTGTATTTTAAATTTTATAAATTAAAACGTAATTACGAATTTTACAATTTGCAATAATGTAAATTAACATTACTAATTATATAATCTAAAATATGTAAAATTAATATTTTTTAATTTTAAATAGTATAATCTAAAATATTTAATGGAAGTGTAAGAAAAAATTTCCATAGAAGTATAGGAATTGATGGAACAAAATATGAAATTATTTAGAGAAGGATGCAATAATAAAAAGATATAATTATAACTTTAAATTATATATTTTATTTAAATTTGTTCTTAAAATATTTATTAATCTATAACTATATATAAAATTGATTTTTATAAGTACTTAATAACTCACATTTTTATTCTTAATTTTACCCTTAACAAATAAATTATTTTATTATTTTACCTTTTAGATTTTATAACTATTTTTTAATCTAAATAATCTATTTTCAATGAAAAACGTTATCTATATTAAAATTATAAAAACTGTGTATTTTATGATTAAATTTTCTAAATATATTTTTCATAAATTTAATAATATACTCTTATTTTAATAAATAATAATAATAAAATAAACGTGGACACACATATCTCCAAATAAACTGACTTTTTAGTTTACGGATATATTTACTATTTTATTCTTCAATCTCTCCTTTTTTTTTTATAAATATAAAAGTTAACATTTTAGTGACCAAAATATTCTTCAAAGTTCTCAACCAGTGCAAGTAGAGTCAAAAAAACATTTTCCTTCCAAAAGGATACTACTATATAGATAGTTTAAAAATTTACAATTTTCTTTTTCATTATAGTGTAACACTTAAAATGTAGAGTTTTGGTTTATTAATAGATGTTGTTCCAATGCTAGCCGGCTATATATCCATATACAAGGCAGTGTGACAGAGAGCTATGAAACAAAGAAGAATTAGAAGAATCACTGTTGGAAATTATGTCAAAACAGGATAATACGAATCTAATTGAAGTTCATCTAGGACAGGTTGTGTGGCCCACAAATATGAAGAATGACCCTCTACGTGATCTGTCACATTAACCTGCAAATCCGAGTAACCATTTTAGCAAAGATCCAAATCAAACGAATTATTAGTCGTAGCACTAGTTTAAAAGTTAAAACACCAACTTCAAATGGTAACCCAAAATGAATAAAAAACAGCAACTTGCAACAATAGTGATGCACAATGGAATAGGAAAAAACTNAAATTTTAATGTTTTTTTTGCAATAAATAAATAAATTTGTACTTTTTAGACTTTAGTTAACTTTTGAATATGTTTACATGTTACATGAAAATACATGCATCTCTGTCTGTCATGTTGAAAATATATACATAGGTGTTTGTTAGGGAGGCTTCGATTTGTCAAAAGTTTGTTTTTTAGTTTATTTTCTGAATTGTCAAAAGTTGATTTGCATGCCTTTGGTTAGAATTATAGTATTTTCTAGAACATGCGTTTCGTTCTTACTTATTAAAGTAGGTTGAGTTATTAGAAACATTGCAATTATATAAGAAATGTATATTATTACAAAAGAACATGTCTCCAAATTAATCAAGATTATTCTTGCTGAAATTGAAAAAGTAAATTCAAGTTTATTATAGTTATTGTCATTATAATAAATGAATGAAGAAATAAAGTAGATAAGATTGAGAAGATCAGAGATACAGCACCTGGAAACATAAGCCACCACCAAACATAGTGGGCTTTAATTTAGGTTGGTAGCATTTCACCTTCCATATCTACACCTTTTCCCTTTTCTTATTTATTTTCAATTAAAATTTGGTTTCGAAAGCAAAATTCAATGGTAAATTTTTTGATATGGATGATTGGGCTGTGGGTACCAAATCACTTTTCGCATTTATTTATCTAAGGTTATGATCAAAAATAAATAATTGAGATTTGACTTTAAAATAATTATTTATTTTGTTTTTATTCTCTTTACCAGTTTTAACAGCATGACTTCTCTTTAAAAAAAATATGAAAAAATTGATTGCAATAATATTTCTTTGGTGACTGTATTGTGCCTTTTAATACAGGATGTGATGTTTGGAGGGACGGAAACCGTGGCATCAGCGATTGAGTGGGCCATGGCGGAGCTAATGAGAAGCCCAGAAGACCAAAAGAGGGTCCAACAGGAGCTCGCGGATGTAGTGGGCCTTGACCGTCGGGTCGAAGAGTCCGATTTTGAGAAACTCACGTTCCTAAAATGTGCCCTTAAAGAGACCCTACGCCTCCACCCTCCGATCCCGCTCCTCCTCCACGAGACGGCCGAGGAAGCGACGGTCAGCGGCTACTTCATTCCCAAGAAAGCGCGCGTGATGATCAACGCGTGGGCAATTGGGAGAGACAAAAACTCATGGGAGGAACCCGACTCATTCAAACCCGCCAGATTTTTGGAACCGGGCGTGCCCGACTTCAAGGGTAGCAACTTCGAGTTCATTCCTTTCGGGTCGGGTCGCAGGTCCTGCCCCGGGATGCAGTTGGGGCTGTACGCGCTTGAATTGGCGGTGGCTCACCTCCTTCACTGCTTCACGTGGGAATTGCCAGATGGAATGAAACCCAGTGAGTTGGACATGGGTGACATTTTCGGACTCACCGCTCCAAAAGCCACGCGACTCATCGCTGTGCCAACCAAGCGCGTGGTGTGCCCTCTCTTTTAGAAAAAAAAAACAACAACAATTTAATCCCTTTTATTTTCTTTTTTTTTCATATTTTATTTTCATCCCAATTATACATAATCATCATAAATAATACGAAGTGAGAGAAACAATAAGAATGTGGTACATGTAGTTGTTCTCTCTATTTCGAAAACAAAAAACTGAAAAACTCTTCTTGATTCGATGTGTTTCTTTTTGCCCCACTTGCGTTTTTTATTCATATGTGTAATACACCGAAATATAAGTGAAGCAGCCACTAAAAAGAGTGAGTGGCCATGGTGGAAATGTGACAAATTAAATTGCATAATTGTGATAATTTACTTTCATACTTGGATGCGATGGTGAATATTTTGAAATGCGTAGTGTGAGGATTTGATAAGAAAATCGCGTATTTAACAGTGATATAAAGTAGTGTTTTGTAAGCAAGTGGATTCTAGAGGCAAAAAATTAATGATGGCTGAGCAGAGGGAAAATGCAGATGAAGTTGAAGACTTTGGGTGTGATATGAAGAGGTAGCTATGAAAAATTCAACATCGCTCAGGTTGAGAAGCCTCAAAGTATGGAATGATATAAACATTTTAAAATTGCATTGATTTTATTTGGTTAGATTTGGCGGTGCAGAAGAGTGGCGTGATTTGTTTGTATACGGAACTGCATGATTTACTATAAGTGAAACTGATGAAAGTTGTATTTCAAAGTGCTAGCGTATGTAGAAAAAGAAAAAAAGATGAAGTGTTTAGGTGAGTGTAGAAACGAACGTGAAATTCAAAATCACTACTTAAAACGTGAAAGTGACACTCCTTGGACCCTTGTTTTGTATTCAGAAGCCAAGTCAAACTGAAGCCTTTTTCCGGGGTGCAAAGTTTTAACACCTTTACCTACTTTGTGACCAAACACAAACTAACGTTACATTTCTGTTCGACTATTTTTTCTTCTGACAGGAAAATCTAGCATTCATCATTCTGCTCACTGAGGATTGGTCAGCGTGAACATTGGTATTGTTTTCATACGTTAGAATCTTCAATGAGTTAAACCATAGATTTTCATTTGCTGGCATGTTCTTCTTAGGGTGTGAAACTATTATTATTTTATTAAACTTTGATATGGTATGAATATTTTGAATTCGGTGCTTAATTGGACAAGCAGGACTTAAACAATCAAATTTGGTCACCTCTAACCTAAACCACTAGAATGCCTTTTATGGGATCATGGTCCCATGCCAATGATTTTTTGCTGTTTAAGAGAGACAACTGACTCTTTAAGTGAGAGCATGTAAAACAAAGGCTTTATTTATTTATTTTGTTGAAAATTGTAGTACCAAGATTTTGCATATGAATAGGGTCAACCCGACAAATTTTGAGGATAAGAATAATTACAAAATAAATATTTTTTAATTATGACTTAAATTTGATATGGTAGTATTGGTGATAATTGAGTTTTTAACATAAAATATATTTAATTGAAAAGTATGTTTAATAATTTTCTTTGAGAACTCATTTAGAAGGGGAAAAGTGTTGTTTTGGTATAATTTTTTTTTCTAAATTACTTAAATGAGACAAATTTTAAAAAATATTACAAAAGTGGATAAGTTATGTTAAGAGGACACATCTTTACTTGAACAAGTAGTGTGAATAGGATACAATTTTAGATAAAAACAATTTTAGAGTTGAAATTGTGTCAAGTTGATATCACTTCCATCGAAAGCATTCTAAGATGAAATTGTATCAATTTAACACGGTTTCTACTGAAACTAAATTAAAGTTGTATTAATTTGGCTCGACATTTATTAAAACTGAACTAAAGTCATGTTAAGTTGGCATGACTTCAATTTAAAATGTATTAAACTGAAATTGTACTGACTTAACACGACTTTAACTTAAAAATGTTTTAAACTAAAGTTGTACCATCTTGACATGACTTTTTTATTATGAGAAAAGTGTGATGTAGCATGACTTATCCACTTTTGTAATTTTTTTTAAATTGGTTCTATTTTGATACTTTTTGGAGGAAAAAAATTGCTTATTTTAATGCTTTTATCTATTTAAAAAAATGTAATTATTGTCTTTATCTAAAATTAAATAATAGTGATAAATTTATAAATACCAGTAGTAAATAGGTTTTTGGTCATACCTTTAAAATTTAAACCATACTATATTTAGTATGACTATCTTCTAATATTAAGAGATGTAAAATACTAATATTAGTTTTGAACTTAAGTTTAACTACAAATAATTGATTTCATTAGGAACTTGGTTAATATAATTAATTTACTAATGAATATTAAAAATGATTTTTTATGCACGGAAACTTATGATAAAGAAATAAAATTATTACAAGCAGAATTTATGTTGAGAGAGAAGTGTTCAAATAACAATATCATTAAATAAAATAAAATTGATCAGATTTACTTACTGTTAGCTTTTATAAAGAAGAGAGGTTACATTTGAAGATTATATCCTCTCATTTATTTTATTTCTTTTCAGTTAATATCCTGATAGTAACAGAAGATAAGCTTTATGCATTTAATGATTGATAATGGATGAAGGAGGACAGTTCCTTGTGTTTTTTCATGTATCATTCAGATAATCAAATTCTCACTATAAATAGTTATCTCTTCGCAGGTTGCCTATGAGAGACATTCCGAATTCTATCACCAGTAACTATCATGGATTCTATATAATGTAATTTGTATTTTAAATTTTATAAATTAAAACGTAATTACGAATTTTACAATTTGCAATAATGTAAATTAACATTACTAATTATATAATCTAAAATATGTAAAATTAATATTTTTTAATTTTAAATAGTATAATCTAAAATATTTAATGGAAGTGTAAGAAAAAATTTCCATAGAAGTATAGGAATTGATGGAACAAAATATGAAATTATTTAGAGAAGGATGCAATAATAAAAAGATATAATTATAACTTTAAATTATATATTTTATTTAAATTTGTTCTTAAAATATTTATTAATCTATAACTATATATAAAATTGATTTTTATAAGTACTTAATAACTCACATTTTTATTCTTAATTTTACCCTTAACAAATAAATTATTTTATTATTTTACCTTTTAGATTTTATAACTATTTTTTAATCTAAATAATCTATTTTCAATGAAAAACGTTATCTATATTAAAATTATAAAAACTGTGTATTTTATGATTAAATTTTCTAAATATATTTTTCATAAATTTAATAATATACTCTTATTTTAATAAATAATAATAATAAAATAAACGTGGACACACATATCTCCAAATAAACTGACTTTTTAGTTTACGGATATATTTACTATTTTATTCTTCAATCTCTCCTTTTTTTTTTATAAATATAAAAGTTAACATTTTAGTGACCAAAATATTCTTCAAAGTTCTCAACCAGTGCAAGTAGAGTCAAAAAAACATTTTCCTTCCAAAAGGATACTACTATATAGATAGTTTAAAAATTTACAATTTTCTTTTTCATTATAGTGTAACACTTAAAATGTAGAGTTTTGGTTTATTAATAGATGTTGTTCCAATGCTAGCCGGCTATATATCCATATACAAGGCAGTGTGACAGAGAGCTATGAAACAAAGAAGAATTAGAAGAATCACTGTTGGAAATTATGTCAAAACAGGATAATACGAATCTAATTGAAGTTCATCTAGGACAGGTTGTGTGGCCCACAAATATGAAGAATGACCCTCTACGTGATCTGTCACATTAACCTGCAAATCCGAGTAACCATTTTAGCAAAGATCCAAATCAAACGAATTATTAGTCGTAGCACTAGTTTAAAAGTTAAAACACCAACTTCAAATGGTAACCCAAAATGAATAAAAAACAGCAACTTGCAACAATAGTGATGCACAATGGAATAGGAAAAAACTAACGTTTTGGATCCCAGGAATGTCAACAGGTTGGATTCCAGCTAATCCTTGAGAAAGTAGACTGCACAAAATCAATATCTATGTTAGTTTCTGTTGTCTACTAAAAAGTCTCAGGTGATTCTTCATTTTTTCTTTCTTTAACAATTAAAATCATTCTATTCATACAATGTATTGCGTAAACATGCTCTTGGTCTGTGAAAATCGTGTCCTATCATACTATGAAAGTATGCGTTTACTCTGAAAAATAACCGTGTTATATGAGAGTTCCGCTACAAAAATGGTATAATGCAAATATCGCCCATGGTCTCCACAGATTTATGGATCCCAATCAATGGATGAAACACAGTCAATAAAAATATGGGATCATATTCTGTGCATTTGCAGAACCAAAATGCTATAACTTATGACTTCAAGGAAAAACTACATAATAAACATTTGGTTCAAGACCCACGAGTACAACTTCATGCCATTGTTTCTTTTTTCAATTGATTGTGAGTTAATCTTCTGAAGAATTGATCGGTTCATATAGGCTATGTACTGTGGATAGACTCACAAAACATCAGAATACTAACACTACATATTTGTGTACCTGGCACGGAAAGCAATTCCAAGCATCCAGTCATTGCTTGAGTAAGCATTTATAAATCTTCCAGCTACCATCTTCAGAATACCAGGATCTGACAGTAATTAATAAAAGCAATACATAGTAATTAAGAGTAAAATTAATTCCCTTTCCACCTTTCTAACAGTTTCCCATTTTTCATCCCTGATTGCAATGGGTGCTCCAAGAAGAACAACTCTTTCTACCAGTTCAGCTGCCAATAAACAGTAGCAGAACTTCAGAATCAATAAGGGAACATCTTATTAACAAATAAACGATCTAGTCCCAACACAAACTATATCATATGTACTACCCATATCCAGAGTTGAAGAGTTTGACGGAAGAAAAAACTTATCCTTCGAGAGACAGTCAATAAGACTAAAAATTACCAAAAAGGAGCAATAATGTATCACATCCAATCGAATACAAAAAATGTGGAAATACATACCACTGTTTCTTGTTTCAGCCAAACACTCCAGACATTTGAAAATAACTCTTGCCCCCAGAGAGTAACCTACAAGTGTAACGGGCCTGAAATTCATAGATTAAAAATATTTCATATACCACTATTTTGAAGGAGCTAAATTTTCAAAAGAAACTTAGAAATAAGAAAATACCTATTTCCCTGCAGTCCTCCCAATAATACTTCGGCAAGCAACTTCCCTGCCTTGTCAGATCTGAAAAGTGATATAAGTATTATAATTGCAAACTAAGACCGGAA